AAAAAATGATGCATGCAACGAAGAAGCCAGCCTCCAAGACGCGCATGAGCATGTCATGAACACAATGTCAAGTGTACGCAGAAACAATTATGAACATGTGTCGAAGGCTCTGGTGCACAACAACATCATGACCACGCGTCGAATGTCATAGTGCATGTAACAACATCATGAACACGTGTCGAATAGCAACCATCATGAACACGTGTCGAATGTCATGGTGTATGTAACAGCATCATGAACACATGTCGTATGTCATGGTGTATGTAGCATTATGAGCAACATATGTGATTTGATAAAATGGACACAACTACACGTACGGTTTCCCATCCGTTGGCATAAACATGTAATAACTCTTTCGGTTTTGGTTTTTGACAGTGCGTCAGCTCACTTTCTCCCTGCAAACTAGCTTTCGTTCCCTCCATGCTTTGTTAATTTTTTTTCGACATCAATCGTGGAACTGATTTTTGTTCATTGCTTCTCAACATTTCTTCCTCCAAACCGGCGCCGCCACTGTTCTTGGGATGCTGACATGTTTAGGTGTTTGCATGTTCAATATCAAGTTTTGAGCCATGCCAATAGTATGTCCCGAACGTGTTGGTAAGGAAATTTAACCTGCGCGGCGGCTCTTTGCTGTGAACCAGTCAACACTTCAGGACGCTACATACGTAGACCACACAAAGTCTTCATATCCTGTTTTTCCTCCATGGCCCGGATCCAGGTTGAAAACATCAGTTGCTTTCACCACTTCGTTACATGCAACGCGGTGCAAATAGGAAAGCATTTGACCCCGGCTGTTTCACATGCAGGCTTGTAGAAGTGATTCCGTTGTCATGCTGGGTTGTTAGATGTCTACTCAGTGTCTGACCAAGGCCAAATGGATTCCACAAGAATAGCACCCGGTTGAACTTATTGGAGGTCGCCTATTTTTTGTGAGCCTGCTTTTTGATCTGCATATAAATTCTACGCAGTCCAACAGGAAGATGTGGAACACGTCAAGACAAACATTAAGTGATCGAACTTTCTTGCACTGCAGCAACCTTTCATCCAGAAGAAAGCAACCTACTAGCTATATTTGCTTCCTTTGGTCTTGCGTATTCGACAGTGACAATTTTTGTTGCAGGATTAGAGTTTTGCCAACAGCTAGGTGAGCAAGGGCTCGGGGCACATTGCTCGGCAAGCTATTCAAAGGTTGCAAGTTGCAGCAGTCCAAGCTCAAACTCGTATTTTTGGCAACATGGCAGGGGCCTCTGGCTGGATTCTACTGGCCGTGAGTCTCATATTTGCCGTTTCACACTCAATTCTAAATGTTCATCGCACTTTCACAGTACCGGAGCGATGCATCACGCGCCGAGCGACTCAAGCTGGCACTGAGCCAGTGGTGGATGTTGATCCACAAGCTCCAAAGGCGTCAAACAGTTTCAAAGCGCAGGTGGAGAAGAGGGCACGGGTGCTTGCCAAAACGGCTGAAACAAAAAAAAGGGTGGAGGAGAAGAAAAGGAAACTGAACACCCAATCAGATCGCAAGAAGACCGTGTTGTCAAATGACAAGCCATTGATTGATTGGGAGTCCTTGGCTGCGCAAGCCAAGCGTATGGCAGAAGAAGCCAAGGATGAAGCTGCAAAATCTGAAGGCAAAGAGGGCAAAGAACTTGAGGTTTTGGCAACACAAGCCAAGGGATCATTCTTTCAACTGGCTACAATTGGCTTTGAGACTGCCAAAACAGCTCCTGAGTTGTTGGCAGCATCCGCCGGGGGGGACCTTGGTGTTGGTTTTGTTGCTGAGCTTCAGCTCAAAGCCAAGCATGGAATCTTCCCCAATCCGCCAATTCAGCTCTGCTCCCGCAGTCATAAGCTTGAAAGAAGAAACTCCGACGCCTCAGTCCCGCACTCCAGTGCCTCAGAAGTTGCAGGCGTCAAATCCTCCGAGCCCCAAGCCAGCCCCAAAGCCACAACCAGAAGTTCCTTGGGCACGTGGGTTGGCAGATTCAGCTGCAAGCACGCTTAGATCGATTGCAGATGGGCTGCCTGGAGCAGAAAAAATTGTTGAAGCCAAACTTCCAGTGGCGCAATCAGCTATCGCAGATGCTTCCCAGTGGGCGTCGGGTGTGAACCTGGAGAATGCCCCGGAAAAGGTCGAGAAAGATGTTCTCCCCTTTGCAGGTCGAGCTGCTGAAGAAGCACTGAGATTAGGCTTGAAAGCAGGTGCTGGTGGTCTTGACTTTGTTGGGGAAAACTTGCCCGCGGCTCAGCAAGCAGTGGGTTCTGCTGTAGACACAGGTTTGCCATATGCACAGTCTGCCTTGCGTGAAGTGGCTTCGAATGCTAGACGGCTAGCTGCAGAAGGCATTGAACTGGATTCATCCAACCCTTACGCCCAGAGTGCAGCTTCAGCACTTCCGGAGGTCTTAAAAGTTACTGCAAGTGTATTGGATGCTGCAGCAGATGCGGCACCAGGGGTGAAGTCTGTCTTGGGATATGCGGCTAGTGCAGTGACCCCTGTAGCTCAAGCAGCTCTGTCAACAGCCTCTGATCTAGTGATCGATGCATCTAATGTTCCAAGCTCTACGGTCGAGAAGACACTCAACGAAGCTGCTGGTGCAGTCGTGGACACTGCACGCAGTGCTGCAAAAGCAGTGGACTTAGTGAAGACCACTCCGGCTGCAGACTCCGCTCTGCAGCTGCTGACGTCTCAAGTGTCAGCACAACAAGCTCCTCAAGGAACAGAGTGAGATGCGAGGATTTAGCGGACTTTGCTTGACCGACCGAAGTTTGGGGAAACTAACATATTGGTTCTGTTTTCGGTGGATTTGAAATTTGTTGTTTGTCTTGTCCCCTTAGCGCCAATCAAATCGCTGCATGCGTTTTTTTTCCCGCCATCAACGCTTGCTTCTTCAGATTGATTTAAAGGCATGTCACTTTCACATCACCATTAAAAGACCATGACGGCCGTGTGAAAATAATTGCTTGAAGTGCTTTGACAATTTGATGTGCGGCTGGGGTGTGTTGGGTTCAGGTCTGGAGTCATTCAAGGCCTGAAGGAAGAAAACACAGCTACTCAGCTTCCTTGTATGTACGTACGTGCACTCCTGTGCAACTTTTTTTGCTCCAGATTGCGAGTATGAGATTCCAGTGGGCCCTTGTGTTGGTGCTGCCATGGATAGTGCTTGGGAAGAAGCATAAGCAGTCTGTGTTTCGCTTGACCAATGGCGAGCCCGATGTCAAAAAGAAAGAGAAGGCGCGGAATGAAGTCAATTGGCGTACTCCAGATCAGTTTCCAGACTTCGGCGGCAAGTTTGAACGGGAGTGCATTAACTTGGTAACTTGAACGCAGGCATCCCTTTCAATTTTATGAGGTAACAACGTCTGATACCCATCAGATCCCATCAGTTTTTACTCTTCCCAAAGCAATTGTCCAATCGCAACAGAAGTAGTGCACTGGACTGTGGCCTGAGCTCACCAACAGGTGAAGGGCTTAGTACGGTGGTTTAGAAGACATGTTGACCAGCCAATGAGTGCTAAACGACTAGAGTAGAGAGACAGGATGCTCAAACCTAAGCCTTCCCTCACAGCTCTTTTTCGAAGTGCTCATGTTTCGATGCTCTTCATGATTTTGCTTCACGCATCGATATCCATTGCCAGGCATTCGAGGAGACTGTTGCCAATGCACGATTTGCCTTGGTGAACTTCAATTCGTTTCTTACGTATGAGATTCGGAGAATTGAATCGTTTGTTTGCGTTCTGTTGGTTTTAAACACACATAATATAATATATCCACATATATATAGCTGTATACTGATTTGTCATATGCATTGATTGAGTTCAACTGATCACCGCCTCAGCTTAAACAGTTGGCTGAAAATTTGCGGTCAGGTTCAGACCTTCTTGCAAGGAATGTGCTGAGTTGGAGACCTCAATGAAGGAGGCGTATAGAGGAGGCAAACAATACCGAACACAATAGGAAGTCGACTGAGCTGCTTCAGGTGGCCAAGAAGCTGAAGAAGAAAGGAGTGGTTTGCGGCATGATGGACGGAGATTTGGCTGTAAATGTCGAGGCAAAGGACAAGAATAATGTCACTAGTGGCTGGGCATCAATTTTTATTGTGTTGTCAAAGGTATGAGCACTGATACACTGTAGCTCATGTAGCCCGAATCTTTGACATTTGGTTCCCAGGTTTACCCACTTTGGTCTTCTTCAGAAGTGGCTATGGAATATCTAAGCAGGAAGGCTTTCAGTCAGCGATGAGCATTGAACAGTGGGCACTCAGGCAGCACTTCCTTTTCAAAAATGTGCTTTGCTTCTTGACTTCCTTTACTTCCTTTGAAGAGCCCGGTGAGGCCGTAGTAGCATGCGTTGTTCTGAAGAAACTGCTGCATGTTTCTGAGTCTGAGGTAAATGCAGTTGCTGGCCCAGAGGTAGAAGTCTTTGATACCAGTCTTGTCAGATCAAGATGTGGCATGATTCTTTCGAAGTGGAAGAGTAATTATTTGACCAACAGACATTATCCGGTATGACCAACACATGCTTATGCCATGTACAACTGACACTGTCCGATGACCTTGTTAGCAACGCCGCTGAACGCAACACCGGTTTGTCGATGTGACCAGAAAGACGAGTCGGCTGGATGAAGATGCTTTTGTTGGACCGCAAGCTTTCCAAGTAGATAGCGGTGGGCCATGCCTTTGTAGTTCTTGAGATTGCGTTGGAGTTTTGGTAGCACAATTGGCTAGACTCCTATGGGACACAGCATACCTGCGCACCCAGAACATCCGGCATTTTTGCCTTGGTGCAGATTCGCGGTGTCTGAGGAAAACCAAGCAGCGTTTGACAAGGCACTCAAGAAGCGCGAGACGCACGAAGTTGTATTTGCGGCCATTGGTGGTCCAAAGTTAAAGGACTGAAGTTCTTAGGATCACCTTTTTCAACTACTGTAAGACTCTGGACCCTCTGGCAGTTGTGTAGGAGCTTCTGGATGTGGTTGCTCTGAAAGGCCACCGAGATGGCTGGGGTTCTAAGCAACTTGGCTTGTATGCTGCAAGCATCAATCTCCTTGCAGTTTACTTTTTTCTTTTGTTTGACAAGAAGCTACTAGGGGCTCCTGGCCTTACTACTAGGAGCAAGGACGCTACTAGGGGCTCCTGGCCCTGCCATGGCTTTATGACGGTTCATGCATTGTGCTGGCTTTGAGGATTCGATATTTCTTCTGGTCAGATGGAGGTAGGGGCAGGCAGGGGCAGGTAGGTTAAACACCTCACCCGCAGTTGCTGGCTCTTGAGCTGAGCAGGCCGTTTGCAGCTGTCTACCGTGGTCTCAATGAAATGGAGCGGGCCACATCGTGCAAGACTCCTTTTTGTCCATCTCTCAATGCACAACTTGCTTGCCATCCTCTGTGTTTCAGGAGCACTTTGATGCAGCCGGTCAAATCAGTTCGGAGACCATCGAAGAGTTCTTGAAGGATGAATATGTGCCAGACCCTTAAAGTCAATGTGAGATGTGATTGAAAAAATAAGCTATCATGCACTGAGGCCAAAGTTTTCACAGGCCCGGGCATTCTTGGACTTTCCATTTTGAGCAGCATAGTGCACAGGTGACGGCAGCTGATATGAATTCTGTGTTTGGAGCTGGCACGAAGGCCGAGAGCGCAGAAAATGTTCGGTGAAAGCCGTCCCGATCATTTTGGCCCAGGGCAACGTCTTTGTTTGCTTTGACCCAGCACGTTTCGAAGCCCAGGTGAATAAGTGCCCCTGATTTTCACACGATCTCTGCTAGTTCTGCGTGGCAGCGCAGTGTCCTTTGAAGTCCAATGAGGTACACCAAGGTCTTCGTGAAAGTTGCGAGAAAGTGGAAAGGATATGGCTTTTCCTATTTCGACGCAAGTGATCCTTTCAGCAAGATCATCAGCATTGAGTGCCAGGACACTACATTATGTAGTTTGCAGACTGCTTAAACATCTTCGATTTAAAGATGACCAAGAGAAACTGAGAAACGAGGCGTCATTGAATGACAAGTCCATTGTCTTTGCCCTCAGGAATTCCCAGTAGTCACGTTGAAGCCACTGAGAAGGCCTTTTGCGAGCTACAACAAATCCTTTGCTCACCTTGGAGATGCGCTGAATGAAAAGCATATCAACGAGTCACTTGGCTCACCAGGAAGCGGCACCACCTTTCTGAAAACATATCCGCCTGCAGAAACCCTCATCATTGCACTGGTGTCTTGAGTCAAATCCAAGCTGCCAGGTTTATGAAAGAGTCAATAGCCGCTCATCGAAGTGCAGGAGCAGAACTGTAGCGGCTGTAGTACGGCTGTAGCGGCACAGATGCTCAAATTGTATTTCAATTATTGTGTTTGTACACAGTGTTAGCTTCGAAGAAGCGCATCGTTCCACAGACTGGTTCCTGTGTCTGCATGTCATCAAAGTTGGAAATTGCTCGCATTTGATACGCAGCATTGTTTCTTGTTGTGCATGACCTGTTTGCAGCGTCTATAACCAAACAATCTTGCTGCAGCCTTTGATTGTCAGCCTACATGCACTGTTGCTAGGTTCCACATCACATTCAAGTTACTGACAGTTACTGTACAATGCTTTATCCAAGTGAAAGGATAAGAAGCCAAGCAACGTTGGTCACTGTAGACTGTAGCTTTTTTCCTTCCTCTATGCATGCTCAGTCGTTCTACAGTAGCGAAATCTTGAACTTTAGAGCCTCGAGATGTCCTGGCTAACAGACACAATCGGCAAAGTCCGGGAGCTGGATACTGAGAGATTTGTGTTGATTGTGTTTCTTGAATTGGTTTTGAGGGTTTTAATTTACCACCTGCATGATTGTATATCATTTGAGGCAGGGGAGCTCATTGGTCTCAGCAGCTAAGCAGGCTGCGAGGGGTCCGAAGACCTTCGTCCAGCTGGTCTACTGGGTACAGAAAGTTGAATCAAACCGCTCAAACGGTGGGGCGCTTCTCGACTCTTTTGGCATTGAGGAGCTGCGCCCTGTTCTTTTTCTGAGCTTCCGTATGCGCATACACTGAGGATGTACTGATACACACACATATATATCAAAGCTAGTTACCAGTTGACCAGTGTGGAATATTGCCCAGCTTGGTTGGTTTCTGTTGATTTCAATCGAGAAGTTTCTTATCGTTGCAGACTTTCAATTTCCCATCACTTTGGTGGTTGTTTGGGCTTGTGCTGCTGGCTCCCTCATTGGCCTCGCTTTTCTGCAACATTATGACCTTGAGTGATCATGTTTGCGTCAGCAAATTGCAGTGTATGTGGTGCCTTGAAGTCATGTCACCTAGTCTTCAGCGCCATATTGTTGGAGCAGACTTCAGGTCAGGAGTAGACTCTCCTCGGAGCACGGGGATGCAGATGCACACTTGGAGTCAAAGGTGTTGGGCACTCAGACTTGTGCAACGCCTGAACAACATAGAAGGACATCAACCCGACTTTTTGCTGAGCTAGCCTGACAAGAAGGCTTTCAGCTGTGGCAGCAGGGCCAGGTGCAGCGGAACAACTGTGCCAGGCACCCGTCAATTTGGCAAGAGCAATTTGTTTTGCCCCTCCATGAATGCAGGCATGGTCGAGGCAGCTCAACACTGCGGCCAGCGTTTCCGGCAGCATCGCAAATGACGCGTCCTGCCGGCATGTTCTACCAGCCAGGGCTAGCTTCAAAGCGGGCCTGAATAGATCTCGAGGGAAGAGTAAGAAAGAGTTGAAAAGCGGATCTATTTTATACAATAGCAACAAATTCTTTGTTGGCAGCAAGGCACCTGCACCCACGCTGCAAATCCTGCACTGCCACAAACATTTGGCAGCAGCACTCTGCAGCGGCCTGCAGCGACACCAGCACGCAGGCTCCAAAGCGCAGACTGCCGTAGACATTTGGCAGCAACACCCTGCAGCGACACCCCGCAGCAGCACCTTGCATTGGCACCAGTACCGAAGCTCCAAAGCGCACGCGGCACATTTGGCCGGGGCCTTGCAGCGGCAGCAGCGTCCAAGCTCCAAAGCGCACACGGCGAATGACACTTGGCTGGCTCCTCGCAGCAGCAACCTGAAGCAGTACCAGTACACAGGCTCCAAATCGCACGCTGCCATGGACATATGGATGAGCGCGTCTTTCGCGGCGAGATGTGCTTCCTTGAATCGAAGGCGTCATGGCGCAAAGCCAAGCTTCAGAAAAATGCAGTCTTCTGGCAGCAACATCCTGCAGCGGCGCCAGCATCCGAGCTCCAAAGCACAAACTGCCATAGACATTTGGCAGCAGTGCCCGGGGCACCACCAGCATCAAGGCTCCAAAGCACACATGGGCCAGACACAGCGGCGCCAGCGCTCAGGCACCTCTTCCTACAATTGAAGTAAGAACCCCAGCAAGGCGGCTCATTGAAGGACGTTCGCAGAAGACCTAAGTTTCAGTGAAGCGGGTTTACAGATGCAGTGCTTGCAGCGGCAAATGCAGCCAGACGAAGGATGGAACAGACAACAGAAAGGAAAGTCAGATGGGGTTCCAGCAAGCAGAGCACGACCAAGGAGCAGACCCTGGACAAGACGGACGGCGAGGTAAACTTCCTGGAGGGCAAACGCATCAAAAACATCCAAGGAAAGATGAAAACGCGGGACAAGGCCTCAACGCGTACCGCTCCAGTTTGCTTGCTCAACGTTTCAAGCTCAGGCGGAAAGCCAGCGCGGAGCGCAGGGTACATGTGACTGAGTTCAAACAGGTGTGCGCAATTGCGATCGGCTCACCAGCGCCATGGGTGGGCATCGAAGTCGAACTGCTGGCTTGCTGGTGATGGGGGCACCCACACAGCAAGACAAACACCTTGATAGCGCTGCGGAAGGATTTGGGAACAGCAAGACGGGAGTCGTGAAAGGGGGCCAGAGCACACCCGAAAGATCCATGGCGAGGCGACTTCAACTGCCAATTTAAGTGCGCTAAATGCCCCAGTTGGCAAGGGTGTGGCATGAATGAGAGCGTTAGCCACTGTGGCAAAGATTGATTCAGCTGTTCGTGCATTCAGTGTCATGATGAAAATCTAGACTCTCATCACGAAAGGTAGCTTCAGCTGCCTGAGTTCTCCTTGCTTTAGCAAAAATGTATTACAATCTGGAGTTGGGATTATGCATTGAGTTTGGTCCTGTAAGAAGGGATTCTGTTTCATGGGGGGCGCCCCCTGGATCAAACCCACCCTGCGCCGTCGCGGTTTGGGTGCAAATCTTGTTTTGCGCAGAGCAGCAGCACATGAGGAGTAAAACAGGCAGCAACGAGCAGCGCAAGAGAAATGAAACCGTAATAAGCAATCCCCTCTCATATTTCATTTTCAACCAGTGCTGCAACGCGGTTGGGACAAACAATATGCTCAGCTCGTGCCTCTCCAGACTTGGACTCACCCCTTGCGGTCCTCTCTCCTTCCCCTCCCGCCGATTTGCTACCTTTCGTTCACCCCCTCGTATCTCAATTTTTTTGTGGGACAAGTGCCGCCTCTGCAAGACGGTTTTGAACCTCCTCGCTTGGTTCCCTACTTATGCCACTAACAGCAGCAGGTTCCTTGGAAGCAGGATTTTGTGCACACAAGAGATGACTGGTGGTTCCAACAGTCGACCGTGTTCAAGGGCAGCCCAGTTGCGCTTTACATTGCGTTCGAGGTTTGCGTGTCTCAGTCGAGCTATTACGCCACGCATCATATTTTCATTGCGCCCACAATGCATGTCAGATTTTGGCAAACTTTGTTGCGCAGCCGAGCAGCTGGAACCTCAACGATGAATAGCGTCTAGCGTTTTTTTTTGCAAACTCTGTTTTGAAGCCAAGGCTGAGTTGATGCTGCAGGGTCACAGTGCTCATCATGCTAGTCCAGCCAGTCCGGCACTCTGGCACCAAACCAGCGTTTCGATTCGGAAAAAACATTCAAAAGACAAAAGACAATTACATATTGAATGGGTCATTAAGGCCCCTACGATGGCAGTGCTCTTCGATTGCTGATTGCGCGTGTGCTTCTCTTGGTGATAGAACAAAACATGTTAACTTGTCACGTTGATCGGTCTCTGGCAATGGCTGCCTCGCATGTTTGGACAATGAGGTGCTTCCCGACGATCATGCAGCGCTTGGTCAGGAGATGGTGACCTTGATCACAGGTAGGCATGAGGGCAAAACATCAAAACGATCATGAGCTGTGCCATTTTCTGCAAGGCGAACGTGGAGACCTTGCCAGCGATGACCACACCAGATTTGCTTCAGAACTGCTATCCAGCACCAAGGCGTGTATTTGTCAATTGATTCATGAAAGCCGGACTGTTTTCCCTGTTGAGGTAGATTGGCGTTCAGAGGCTTGGTGACAGAGCTCCTTTTGAATGGATCATGCAAAATCCGCGAAAGGCCTATTTGGCAGAAAGATTGGAGCTCATAAAGGCCGCCGAGAAACAGTCTCAGGCAGCACCCATACTTGCCCCCAATTTCAGAGACGATTTGGGTTTGTAAAAATGTCAGACTGCATTTTGAATGAACATTCTCGCTGTTGGAGGATTTGCAGAAGTTGGGCATCAGGGCCGGGGAGCCTTTAGACAGGCTTGCTCAGATTTGGGCCCAAGCATTGACCCCTTTGAGACGTTCAGAGTGCGTTTTGCTAGATGGTCAGGCCAGCCCAACGTGTTCAGATATCTTCGCAACTACTAGGCACTGCTAAGAGGGACAGAGTACTGATCATGCGCTTGAATCTGGATTATTGGACAGGAAACTATGAGGTCGGAAGCATAGCAGCCATGATATTGCGTGAGAAGGTTGTGGCAGACAATACACGTTTTGACTTGAGGAGTTAAGTCAAAGCTTGGAGGAGGCCTTTGTGTGACATCTTCAGATTCTCCTTGGAGTCAGTCACACAGTATATTTTGTTGCTTTGGCAGGCCGCCAAGCATTGTGTCTCCACCGCCGAGGCAGATGTGATTTGGTCTCGTGAAACCATCTTTGCAACGGTCCAAATACTCAATAACAAAGAAACGATCTTTGCCCAGGCCCGCAAGCAAAGCTTGACCATGCTTTTGGATGGTGTAGAGGCTGATATGATATGTCCAAATTCTAAACCTAAAGTATGTTGGAACTGCTTGTTGGCTGTTGACCACCACTTGGACTTGGATGTGAAGGCATACGCGACATCGCTGGAAGGCCTCGTAACTGTGGACATCATCTTTTGGTTGACATGGCAACAACTAGAAAAGGTTTTCGCCAGTTGTCTAAACATGTTTCAGGTCTGGCAGGCTTGGGTGAACATGTATTCATTACTGCCATAGGTTTGAACCAACGAATGTTTTGGCTCAAGTGACTTGGCCAAAATAGCGTTTGTTCTCTCTTTTTGAGGGCGGAACCCTTGGAGAGACAGTTCTTTTTTGTGCAGGGAGGGACCCTGTTTTCCCATGAGCGAGTTGGGAACCAGTCTTGCTGCCTACACCAGGTACCAGGTGATCCATGCCGCCGCGTGGATGGAGTTCAGCGCTCACGCTGAGGGGCGCGAGCGGGACGCTTGGCGCCTCTGGGCCTCCGTGGTGGAGTTGGTGCATCTGGGGTTTGCAGGGCAACCCCTCTCCATCGCTGGGTTCCCCCCGGTTCGTCGGTTCGTCTGCACTAACATCCCGTGCGCAAGGTGCACCGAACGTCGGGGCGGCTTCCAGTTCCCATGGGTTGGCGTGTGGAACCGCCGCTGCTTGCTGGTTCAAGAGGGACTTGGGCCAGCGGTCGCGTGGCAGGGTTACCATGCCTCTGCGGCGCGCTTGGACCGCCTGGCGCTGCAGTGGATTGCCTTCGACCTGGGCCCGTTGGACATCTTGCCAGTCCACGGGGACGATGGCATCGACACCGAGGAGTTCTTCGGGCTGGTTCGGATTTGGCAGCAGGGGCGGCGGCCATGGCGGGAACCATGGTCGTCCCTGGTTGGGACCCCAGGTATTCCCCGCGAAGTCGCGAATGCCGGCCGGGCCATCCGCGCGATCCTGGGGTCCGTGGCCTATGACGTCGAGTACATTCCCCCCCTCTGCATCCTTTGTCGCCTCCCCACGTTCGAGTCCTGTCGAGTCTGTCGATCGATCGTGTGTGAAGGCTGCAACTTCTGGTCAAGGCAGTGCCCGCTGTGCATCGACAGTTCTGGCTCAGACTAGTGCGATAGTCCTTGCAGGGCTCATGGCTGACAGGGGGCGTTATGCGGCCGAGTCAGCGGGGAGCTCCAGGTGGGACCCGGAGACCTCAGCGGAAGTGGCCCAAGCAGCTCGGGTTCGTGAGTTCCGGGAGCAATACCATCTCCTGGATGATGCGGACTTCGCTTTTGCATTTCGTTCAGCGGAAGAAGCCTTGCTGGCCGGGGGCCGGGGCTTGGCCGATGCTTGGACTAAGGCCCGCTCCGAGCAGACTGAGGAGTTGATGCCTTTGGCTGCCTCTACAGTGGAAGCTGGCTCGAGTCGTGACCGTCCGGCACCTGCTCTTCGATTGCCCGCTCCTCCGGTGCCTGTTCGGAAGGGAGTGACCCTTTCGCAACAAGCCTTCAGTGCCGATAGCGTGAACAGGCGGGTGGAAGCGCTGGCCAAAGTGTTTGAGGACGCCGGGATCCATCGCCCTTCAGTCGGGAACCTCTCAGATGCGATCCTCGCTGAGTGGAAACTTCAACTCCAGCGATTGGCGCAGGTCAAAGTGACCAAATCGGAACCTCAGACTGTGGTGAACGCTGTGCGCACGTGGTCGGAACTGGTCAGCTTTATGCGCTCCAGAGATAGGACTACGATAGAGCATTTGGACTTGGCGTCGTTCCTGGCCTCCGGATCCAAAGGACCCAAGCGTGCATTGAACTCGCTTCGCTGATTGAATAAACTGGGGCATTTGGGATGGCAGTTGGATTCGATCGTGCTGGACCCACCTGCCTCAAGGCGGGCGGCTGCGCGCTCCCAGGCGCTCGTTGTCGAGCCGCCCATGCTCACCCACTTGGAGCGCGGCATCAAAGAAGCATTCACTCGACAGGACCCTCGCTGGACTGCGATGCTGGGCAGTTGGCTTGTGGGCGTAGGGGTACTACGCTACCGCCATATCCAGCGAGCTCAGATGGTGCGGTTGTCACGCTCTACGATGTACTGCCATTGCCCGAAAGGCAAGCAAGCGAGCAAGCGTGATGGGTTTGACTTCTCCATCCCCTCGCAGTTCACCGACGGCTGGCCCTGGGCAGAGCATGTGGTGGCCCTCCGGAACCAGTTGCCTGAGGCTCAGCGTGACGGAGGTGGCCTGTGCTTCAATCGGGAAGGTCGAGCTTGGGACATCTCAGAGGTGCAGGCAGCATGTCGCGAGCTGTTCCAGGATTTAGTGACCGATGTGGCAGACCTCTCCACCTACTCGTGGCGCCGGTTGATGCCCATGGTGGCGTTGCTGGCCAAGTACATCATGGTCGAGATGGTGGCCTTGGGCGATTGGCAGTCCAAGAGTGAGCTTCCCCAAGAGGCCGCCATGCCAACACACTACGCTGGCAGCCGTGATCTCGTCAGCATGAGGCTCAAACATCTGTCGTTGGGGCTCGTCTCCAGGTTGGGGGAGTTTGACGCCTGAGAGCTGGCAACGCCATCAGCTATCACTGCAGCAGTGGATGCGGCCAAGCCCGAGGTGCAGCGGGCGGTGAGCCTCGACAAGCACAGCTTGTGGGACAAGCCGATGTCCGTGGCAGCCGCACAGCGTGCATTTGCTTTCTCCCGAGAGCGTGCAGCGCTCACCAGAGCGGCGCAGGCCAGTTCCAAGCGCTCTTCATCCGTGATGCCTTTTTTTTGATGAATGGCAAGGTCGTCACCCGATTCCTGCGGAACGGCAAGGCGTTATGCCCCGACCTCCAGTTGGACGCATGCCATGTCGGTGAGGGGACCTGTGGTGAGGCTCATCTTTGTGCCATTGTCCTGAAGACTGGTCGCGCTTGTGGGGGGAAACATCCAGCTCAGGCTTGTTTGGCGAAGCGACATGTGGTGGCCGAGGACGTCGAGCATACCCCCTTGGCGAATGTTGCAGTGCCAAGTGCAGCAGCGCCGGTTGATCTCCCAGTGGCCGCTGAGCCTGAGGCAGCGCACCGAGCATCCTCGCCAGAGAGTACCTCCAGCGAGGATGAGTCCTCAGCCGGCCCTCGATCTCCGAGTGCGTCCCCGAGTCCAGTTCCAGCTCCCAAGACCAAGAAGCCGCGCGCTGCACCGCCTCCGGCCCCAAAAGCAGTGGCCTCTCCAGCGCCGCCCGTGGCACCCAAGGCCATGCCACCAGCGGTGGCAGTGACAGCTGCGGCATCCAAAGCCTCGGAGGTCGTCCCACCATGGCGAGCAACAGCAGCTGATGCCAATGCGGCTCCTGGTGACATCTTCGAGATGCCCGAGCCACCGGCCGCGTTCACACCCAACGTGCACGACCAGCGGTGGGACCGCTTGGCCACAGTGCGGGGGAAGAGCGCGCAGGCGCCGACCAAGGCGCTGTCCGTCCAAAGTGGCGGCGCGTTGTGGTTGGGTGGATTGCCTACGACCAGGTCAGCATCAGCCTTTCCAGCCGTCACTCTTCAAGTGGCATGTATGCTTGAGGAGCCTTCGCAGCGGGGTGGCATTTGCTTGCAGGGAGCGACCCTGCGCAAGTTTGCTATCGCCCACCCTGATAGGCGAGACGAGCAATGGCGTGACCTGTTCCCGCTACTGTGCAATACATTGTGGGGAGGCGAGGACGTGCTACTCCACTGCATCAGTGGCCGGCATCGCGCGGCGGGTACCGCGTGTATGTTCCGATCCATTTTGCTTCGGGAGCGCTTTGAGGCATCTTGGGACTACTTGGCCAGTGTGAGGGATGTCGACATCCAGGGCTTGCTTAAAGACAGGGCCTTGGCCAGTTGGATCCATGAGACCCTTCGCGCATCTAGTCTGGGCAATGCCTGGCCCCGGCCAACTGGCTACATCGCGACCGCCCGCAGTCAGCTGCGCACCCAGGGCTATGAGGACACCCCCCTTTGCTCACATCGCCAGGGTGGACAGAAGAGCAAGGGGCGATTGGCACAGCCGTCCAAGTGTACCTCTAAGATGGAAGCGATTGCCTGGGGCAGGCCCACCTGCCAAGTTTGTGCCAATCGAGCACCAGCCTCCTGGATCCCTTGAGGAGGTTGTGGCACCTGTTTTCATCTAGTCGCACAGCGACACATAAGAGCAGCTAGCCCCCTTTTGGCGATGGAGTGATCCGTTCGTTGCCCGTGGCGAGCTTGACCAAGAGCATTGTGAAAACAGGGTGCAGTCTCCTGGAAGGGGCTCTTTGTGAGGGGTGGTCGTACCCAGGCGGGTAGGTCACAGGTGCAGGGAGAGTTGACCGAGCCGTAGATGCATGTCCGACAAAACGTCGTTCGGTCTGTCCCTCCTCCTTCTTTCCCCCCTGTCTCCGGGCTCGTCACGGCCGTAGTCATTGTGCAGGAGGAGAGGGACTCCTCCGAGCGTGCAGCTTTGGCTTAGGCGCGTGGGAAGGGATCCCCGAGACAGCATGGCAAGTTCTTTGAGCTTAGTGCCGAGGGAGTCCTCGAGGATTGAAGACTCTCTGAAGGCGCTAGGTACGAACTTCAGCCTGGACCCTGTTGTAGTGGACGCTTTGATTAAGACAGGTATCTCTAATTTTGAGGAGTTTCGATTTTTCTCAAAACTGTCGCTTGGGGATGGCAAAATGCTTCAGGTTTCCCGCTTGAGGCGGGCGTGGCATGCCATCACCCTCTATTTCAGACAGATGGAGCAAGATCGCTCCAAGGTTGCCTCCGATGATCTTGATTCCATGCTTGGAGAGACCGAGCTGCGGGACACCAAGGTCAGCTTCTGGCGGAGGTACCGCCAGCGATTCCCCCCGGAAGTGCATCCGGCGGACTCCACACTATCGCGGGTGAGCCGGGAGATGAGCAAGCGGATGCTGTGTGTATTTTCCATATGGAAGGTCAAGTCGTTGCAGTTCCAGTTGATGACCACTCAGAAGAAGCGTAAGCTTGGCGACAACCTGTTCACCGAAGAAGCTGAGGAGGAAGAGCCCTCTGCCCGCGATACCGAGGCCTACCTGGACAAGCTTCAGACGCTGATGGTGGCCTATGCGATGGCCGGGGTGGGACCCTTGCCTGCACCAGGGCCAGGGTTTGATCTGAAAGATGAACTGACTTTGGGAGCAGACAGCACCCTTTACGCCCAAGTGCCGCTTGATATCGCGATGCAATATTTCTTTCGAGCCAAACGAGCCACTGCCGCACTTCCGCCAGGCAAACGACTGGCATGGCTGCAAACCCGTGATGCCGAAGAAAGGGCGGAGTGGACAGCTCGCTTTCTGGAAAGCTCTCAGTCGCTAGGCGTCATCATTAAAGAAGTCTACCTGGCGCGAGATGCACACTGGTTGCCGCCAACACCGGCGGAGCCGGCGTTCGCCACCCCCGGGAAGAACGCGCCGCCGGCAGCCACCCCGGCGACTTCCAAGTTTGCATTGGGGAAGTCTATCCAAGGCAAACAGGTGGCGCGGGTACTTCGCGATGGGACACTCCTGTGCCAGGCTTTCCAGGAAGGCTCTTGCAAGAGTAAGAGGGGCAAATGCAAGCTGGGCCAACACCGTTGCGGCCATGTCACCAAGAAGGAGCGAGTTTGTGGAGCTCCGAACCATGGGGCAGCAGCTTGCCGTAACACCCCCAAGGCCTGACGGGGCCTTGAAGAGGCAGCGGCAGCCTCCTCAGGGTCCGTTGAGGATCCGCCGCAACCAGGGGTGGGACCCCTGATGGCCGACCTGATGTCAGGGCCGAATGCGCCACTTACCAGAGCTTTCATCTTTTGCGGATGGAGATGCATCACCATTGACTGGTTGATCAACCCCCAACACGACCTCGCCAACCCGGAGTTCCAGCGGGAACTTCGTGAGATGTTGAAGCAAGCCGATTGCATCTGTGCCGCCTTGGATTGTAGCACCCGAGCTCGAGAGATTCCCCGTCGTTTTGAGGACGGCCGGCCCGCTCCGAAGCCCCTGCGGTCGGATGAGCACCCCACAGGTCTTCCACACCTCCGAGGGAGTGACCTTCGGCGAGTGACCAAGGACAACCAGGCCTGTGACTTTGTTCTCCAGGAGACCCAGGAATTGGCCGATCGCGGTGGAGCGTCACTGCGGGAGAATCCAGCGAGGAGCCTCCACTGGGAGCTTCCCCGGGAGAAGCAGATGTTGGAGTCCGGCGACTGGCAGGACACCTGCTATGCGGCATGTTGCTTTATGGGGGCACGGCGCAAACAGCAGAGGCTCAGGCACAACATTCAGGAGATCTCCCAGTGGCCGCCACTTCAGTGTCACCATCAACACGACCCAGATGAGTGGAAGCCATACACATTGGATGGACAGCGGATTTTCCCTAGTCATGAAGAAGCCGAGTACACGGCCCCGCTAGCCTTCGCCATTGCGGTGTCTACTAGTTGGTGGGCGGTGCGTGTCGGTCGAGCTAAGTTGCGGGTCCCTCGGATGCCACCGACTGAGGCTGTGGGCCGCCGTGAGCATTGGCTTCACTACGATCCTCGCTCGATGCGCAGTTGGGCTATGACCCCGTTGGCGATTCAGCTGGGCCTGCGACCAGTCGATCCTCGCGAGCGTGCGCGAGTGCCTCGCGTGCGCCGAGTTGTTGACCTGTTAGTGGATGGAAAACTTCCCTCCAAGTGCATCTACGTGGGGCGGGGGCATCACAGTCACAAGCTGCCCCTGTCGAAATGGTGCTCTCCGTACACCCCCGGACACGATTGCGCAGCAGATGAATGGCTCCCCTGTTATGTTGAGTTCATCATGTCGTCCAAGGCAGCGGAGCTCCCAGAGCTAGCAGGATGTATCTTAGCGTGTGATTGCTCGCACGATAGCGATGTTTGCGAAGCGGATGCACTCGCGGGCCTGGTTTTTGACGCCACACCCCCGGAAGCGCCTCGCTATCTGGCAGCGGCAGGCGGGCAAGCCCAGAGGCATCGCTCGATGGCATCTCGGGCGCTGCGGTTGGGGGTCGTCTCAAGCAGAGGTTGGCCTATTCACCCAAGAGGGCGTTGTCACTTGCTTCCGTCGCCTCTTCCCAGGTACGTGGTTCCAAGACTTCAAGTTCCCGATGATCGAGGACCTCCTGAACCAAGCACCGTTCTGCGAGTTTCCACGCTGGAGGGACCAGCGCGATCTCAAGGCAGACGGACCCTTGGGACCACATTTGGCCAGCGCAGCTTTGAGACAGCGACAGCGCCATGCCGAAGGCCAGCAAGCAGGAGCTTTGAGTCACAAAGCCGCCCTACCTCCACTTTTGAGTTTTGGGTTGGACCCTGATACCCACTTTCAGCGAGCTTGCCTTCGCAGCCAGGTACCAATACCAACCGAGCAGTCGCCCCTCCTGGACGATGATCTTTGGTTTGTGGCTGAACTCTATGCATCACGTCCCAAGGACCTATACCACGACTTCGCGAGCAGAGCCTAGGCATCTTGAAAGAGCTGAAGCAGCGCTGGCAGAGCGTGGGCGAGCGCCTGAGGACTTTCCAAACATCAGCGATTCGGGCAGTCACCCGTTCCCGGGACATCGGACTGACGGCCCTCTTGGTGACCCTGACTTCCTGGTCGGATATCACGTACCCTCACGGTTTGGTAGCGGCCAGGGTTTCTGCTCTACACCGTTGACCCATACACAGCTCCTGCGAGAACTACGAGGAGAACCATTCCGCCTCATCCCCAGATGTGTGATCGTGCAATCATCGGGCAAGAAGCGGATCATTGACAATGGAGATACAGGCGGCCAGTCTGAGCGATCCTCGGATTGGAACAAGTTGGTCTTGCGCTTGCCATTGCGGCCGGCGCAACATGTGGGGGCGGTGGCCTCGCTTCTGACGGACGACCAGTGGCAGACTCTGACGACTGACGACGCGTGGCTATCAGGAGGCGAAGACTGGCCCAATGCCTACCGTCATTCCCCAATCAGTCGGGAGGAGAGCCGAGGCTGTATCGTCTGTTTTTGGCATGCCGAGCGGGAGGAACCCGCCTTTCAGGTGTATTCATCACTGCTCTTCGGCCTTCCGCTCGCGGTGACGTCGTTCAATCGGTATTCCCGCTTCATCGAGGCCCTGGGACGACGGCTCACCTACAGTCTGGTGTCGCTTTATTTTGATGATGCTCACATCACGGATCTTCAGTCAGGATTCGACTCCAGCCAACAAGCCTTTTGCCAGTTGAACTCCCTCCTAGGCACCCCGTTCGCTGAGGAGAAGAAACAGTTGATGCAGCCGACCGGAACCTTCCTGGGCCTCGATCACGACTTCACGAATCTGAGCCGCGGCTTCGTGACGTTTTGGGCCCGAGATAGATTGATTCAGAAGACAGCTGCGATGATTACCGAAGCTCAGGCTCACAATAGTCTGTCCTCAGGCCAGGCGTCCAAGCTCTACGGCGTGCTCAATTTTCTCGAGCAGGGCATGTACGGAAGGTTGGGTTGCGCAGGCTTAGCAGCCATCAAAGCACGTCAGACGGAACGCAACCGTGACCTCACCCCAGAGCTTCAGCGCAACTTTGACGTGATTCACTCCATTCTTCGCCATCGACCCTGTCGCGAACTCCCCGTGAGGCCGTCCGAGTGTCTACGGTTTGTTGTTGCTTCTGATGCAGCTTTGGAGGAACCAAAGCAGGGCACAGGAGGATTTTTAATCGTATGGCACGACCCGGTGGGCCCGGTTCGGGAAGCCTTCATCGCCAATATCCCTCGGGAGGTTTACCAGCTGTGGGAGCCTGGCGATAGGCAGATTGCCCAGTTGGAGATGGTGATGATCATTTATGCCCTCACGTATCGGGCACAGGCCTTTCGAGGTCGCCGAGGCATCTGGCTGATCGATAACGTCGCTAGCCTCATGTGTCTGATCCGGGGCCGTTCCCAGTCACCCGATCTTGAGCGCATGTGCGGTTTGATCCACGTGATGTTGTACGCTTTGCGCACCTGGATGTATTGGGAATACATTCCTTCTAAGAGTAATTGGGCTGACGCCATTTCAAGATTAGGTTGGTCCGATCCGTGGTGGCGAACTAACGGATTCACCCCTTTTTCCGTCTCTTGCCCATTCTGCCTCTGGCACCTTCCACTTCCAGCGGTGATCCGAGATGGAATTTCTCTAAGTGCGTTGGGAGGATTTGAAGTGCATTGGGAGTGGTTTCCGGAGTGACCGGAAGGATACCACAAGGGTCTGATTGTGTCAGGCCTGCTGATGCAGGTAAC